ATATGGTACCACTCTACCATATGATACCATTGTACCATATGATACCATTGTACCATATGATACCATTGTATGACATGGCACCATTGTACCATATGGTACCATTGTACCATATGGCACAATGGTACCATATGGTTCAAAACCATAGAATTCGTCTTCATCTCCACTTCCATCAGTCTTAGAACTGTAAGTTGTGAAGAGGAGAGTTAGAATTCGCCTAGAGAGTGAGTGGGGAGTGAGAGCTTCCTTGCTGCCAGGCACAGTGAACAAAGCTACTTTGCCGGCATTCCCACAATGCCATGTGGGCGTCCAGATTTTTTCTATGGTGTGCACACTGACCACCCAGACCCATCCTCTCAGATGTAGGTCTACCAGCCTTCTCGGGCTAAATTTGACGCTGCTAGAATTTTGGCATAGATATACGGTTTGGATCCTGAACGTAAAGCCGTAGATCTACAGACGGACTAAATACACAATACTCAATATTTAACCCTTTGACTGTTTTGGTCGTACTATATATACATCTTACGAGCCAGTGTTTCGGATGTATATACACTCAATAATTCTAGCAGCTTTAAATCAAGCAGGAGAAATCTGGTAGGCCCACATGTGAGAGAATGGGTCTGTGTGGTCAGTGTGCACCATATAAAAAAATCCTACAGCATGCAGTGCATAATGAGAAAAAAAACTCTGACTGTATTTATCGTTGTATTCTCGTTTTCATGGTCTCATGTGATAAAATGGAAAACATATTACAGAAATAGAGATGATTTTGATTAGTTTCACGATGAAAACAACCTTGAAATTGAGCTCAAAGTAGTGGAAATGATCGATTTTTACCAATGTTCAAAAGTAAGGAAATCACACCACACGTCCAATACACGTCAACTGGGGGGTCTAATATTCTTTCACTAGTGCACTGATATTATTTATACCATTTTTACAATAATGCATTAGTCTGCATAACAGTAAATCTTCTATTTTTTGTATGAATAAAAAATCAAAACAGAAAGCAATAATGTAAGAGGGGCCTAGAGACGTGACTAATGAACAGAGGATATTTTATTTTAGTGCCAAGAATGTCTACATTGTTTATTCTGGACCTTATTTTGAAATTGGCATCTTTTTTAATTTGTGTGAAATTGGCCAAATTGACAATTTCTGACCACTTTATTGGGTAGTTCAAATTGGTAAATGGGTGGTTTCTTGTACTCAATTGATAGAAAAAATGGAGTTCTAAAGAAATAGCCATGAGTTTGGTCAGCTGGAGCAACAGAATTGGCTGAAAACAGGGCTCAAAGTCGGCGAAATTGCTGATGCATATATGTCGCCAAGACCGCTAACTTCGCAGGAGTGTAATTCCGTGAGTTTTCGACCAAATTTCGTACTTTTGGTGTCATTACCATCGGGAAAATATTCTCTATCATTTCATAAGAAAAAAATAATTTTTTTTTTCCAAAAATTTTTTGACGTAGAATGACAGTTTCGGAAAGGGGCTTGCGACAGTCAAAGGGTTAACACTACCAATAAATCTACCAATTACCTAAATCTTAAAACTTCATAACTAGACAACCAAGCTCATGTATTGACAAATTACCACATAGAAGTATACATACCTACCAAAATCAGTATTGCCCTGTAAACTATTCCTGAATCATGTTTCATAAAAAATCATTTGTGAATACGTGAATATATCCTTTGGTTTTTATAAATTAGATTCACTTATCACTAAAAGAACTGTACAACTATGATAATTTCTTTAGTGACAAGTAGTCAGTAAGCCATTACATTAAGTCAGCCCATAATGCCAAGGCATAATAGAGGCTCTCTTTGCACTGCAACCCATCACTGTAACAATATAATCTCAATGTCCTACTTGCAAAGAAATAAATGAATTTGAATTTGAAGAAGGGAAATAACCCCGGAAAAGGACTTGATACCTCAAGTCCTAATATAAGGGGATTCCCTTTCTAAACATTAACAACTTCAACACTCTTCCCTCCTCCCATCCCATCAATCACCAGATCTTCATTAACCCTTAAATGGTCCAAATGTATATATACGTTTTTTCAAAATCTGAAAGTATGTAAAAAAATGTAGATCTTTTTTTTTTGTTTTACATTTGAAAACGTGTAAAAAAAACTTTTATCTACATTTTTTTTTGTTACATTTGAAAATATATTGTAAAAAAAGTAGATCTACTTTTGTAGCACTACGAATTTGAACGCCGATTTGTTTGGACCGTTTAAGGGTTAAAGGTAAGTGTCATGTATTCTATTGTTAGTAGAGTACTACTAACTGTGCATGTCTTCTTCAGTTTGTGTGCATTAAACTTAATATTTCATGTGGTAAAACTTTTTTTTTCATAATACTTTTGGGTGTCTTGCATGGATTAATTTGATTTCCATTATTTCTTATGGGGAAAATTAATTCGCCTTCCGATAATTTTGGCATACGATGAGCTCTCAGGAATGGATTAATGTCATATACCAGGGGTCCACTGTATTTTGAGGTAGGTTTTAATAGAAGCTTAAGGATGTTGCATTTTTGGAGTGTTTAAAAAGAAATTTTGTCAGTCAGAGAAAGCTGCAAAAAGTATGTATCAAAATTGGCTGCTATAGGAAAGCATAAAAAAAATTGAAGTAGGCAAGAAAGTTAGAGTAGTGCCTACCAATAACCCTACAATCATAGAAATTGGGATGAATACATAAAAATGTTCTTTAAGATAAAGCTAGGCATGTTAGACATATTTAAGGTTGTTTGCGAGCATTTCACTTTATTCTACTCTTTCAGAGGCGAGTTCCAATAAAAAAAGTTTACACGAGTTTTATGTTTAGTGCTTTATGACCATTTGAGATTTTAGTATGTTCTTGCACTAGTGACAGGGGTGAGCTCTAGTCCTTGGTTCTTCAACTTTCTAGCCCACATATGGACTAGCCATCACATTCATTTATTTTTAACCCCTCTGTGAGGCCTTGTTTACCATATAATTGCTCAGTGCTCCTGTAACTCGATGCACTCGGCTCTCGCACTGAAGTCTGGGGATTAAACCCCTAGTACTGCTGGAAAGCATTAGGACATGTTTCCATACGACTTCTGCTGTCTCTGTTCACCCTATCAGTAAAATGGATACCTGGGTGTTAGTCGATTAGTGTGGGTCGCATCCTTGGACAGAATTGGCCTAATTTGCCTAAAATGCTCTGCATAACAAAGGGCTTTCTATGTAGTAGTATGTCATTGATGTCAGCTAAGCCTGTATACCTTGTATATGTAGAAATAAAGATATTATTATCTTAGGGGGTACCTTGATCCAAGGAATTAAGAGCACTAGAACCATTTTGTTAAGTGCTGTAAATATATTCTGTTTCTTACATCATTTAAACTATCATTATTAACTCTTCTACTGTTGTGACCAGTTCTCTCATTCCATAAATAACAGCAAGGAAAAATATTCAAAGTATTTTCTACATTTCCCAGTGTCAACAAATTTCAATGAAAAGCAAAATATCCTCATCATTTATGTGACTACAGATGCTGGGTTCTTAGATAATCATCCTGTAGGGAGAGTGGCACTCTCAGACACATCCCTAACCCTACTGAGGTGACCCAGCATCAGTAGGCATACAGGTTTAGTGCTAACCCTCGAAAACCTGTATATTAACCCTTTCAGGGTCAACAGGCCCTCTCCGAAACTTGTTCTCACGGTCAGAAATTTTTCGGGAAAAAAAAAAAATCTTATGAAATGATAGAGAATCTTTTCCCGATCATAATGACACCAAAAGTATGAAATTTGATGGAAAACTTACGGAATTATGCTCTCGCAAGTTAGCGGTCTCGACAATATTTACACATCGGCAATTTTGCCTACTTTGAGCCCTATTTTCAGCCAATTCCTATGTACCAGTCAACATAAATCATAACTATTTCGCTGGAACTCCATTTTCTCATTCAATAGAGTACAAGACTCCACCCATTTACCAATTTCAACTATCCAATAAAGTGGTCCAAAATTGGCAATTCTGCCAATTTCACAAATTTCAAAAGATGCCAGTTTCCAAATAGGGTTCAGAATAAACAAGACAGACACTCCTGGCACTAAAATAAAATTTCCTCTGTTCATTGGTCACGTCTCCAGGCCTCTGTTACGTTTCTTTTGCTTTCCATTTTGAATTTTTATTCTCACAAAAAATAGATTTACTGTTATGCAGACTACTGCATTAGTATAGAAATGGTGTAGAAATGGTATAAATAACATCAGCACACTTGTGAAAGAATATTAGACTTGCCAGTTGATGTGTATTGGACACATGGCTTGATTTATTTACTTTTGAACTTTGGCAAAAATTTAACATTTCTGCTACTTTGAGCTCAATTTTCCACTCAAGGAAGGTTCCTTGATGTTGGTGAGGGGCTCTTGATTAGGGAATTGAATCTGTGCTCCAGTTCCCCGAATTAAGCCTGAATGCCTTCCACATCCCCCCCCCCCCCAGGCGCTGTATAATCCACCGGGTTTAGCGCTTCTCCCTTGATTATAATAATAATAATAATAATAATAATGAGCTCAATTTCAAGGTAATTTTCATTGTGAAACCAATCAAAATCATCTCAATTTCTGTAATATGTCTTCCATTCTATAAAATGAGACCAGGAAAACTGGAATACAACCATAAATAGCATACGAAAATACACTGAAAAGTCATTGTTTTAAACCAAAAACACGGTTGTAGTTTTTTTTCTCATGCACTGTGTGCTGCAGTTTTTTTTTTTTTTTTTTTTTTTTTTTTACTACTGACCACATAGACCCCATTCTTGCTAGATTTGAAGGCGCTAGAATTTAGGTGTACTAGTATGGCACCAACTCTGAAAGGGTTAATAATCGAATTTCGATCGTTGATATTGTGTTAAAATATATTGATATCCTTGTGGTTGGAGTGTGTATTTTCCAACTTTGCCTTAATGATGTTTATTCAGTGTACATTCTTCTGATAGTGTTATTTTTACAGGCGAAGAACGTGGAGGGCCTGCGATCAATTCGCAGTATGCTGCATGATTTATCAGAAGCCTAGTGTTAAGTAAAACCACTTATCTACAAACAAGTATTGATGCAATATTTTATTTTATTGGAGATGTATTTTTTTTTGTATTGGAATAGTTTTCATACAATAAAAAATAAAATAACTTGGTAATTTTATTTTTGTTTGCACTACTGGGGTTGCTTTATATACAAAAGGTTATGATGATTTGTCCTGACTAAGCACAAATGTTGAGAGTTAAACAGGTGTAGCAGGTAGAACTGCTTTTTCCCATGGATAGCCCATTGCCAGGATTTACATGTCTTATCTGGACCAGGTTTAAGATATGGGTTACTGCCAGGTTATGGGGGGCCGTCTTAGCAACAGTTAGATACTGGACAACTACTATTGCTCATAGGCTGCAGGATTATTGGATGAAGACAACTGCCTTAGCAACTACTGTTCTGTAACACCATGAAATACTGTAATATTTTCTCTAGCAGTGAGGATTCTTCCTCATATTGAAATTGGGTTATATCCATAGGGAAAGTCAGGTCAACAGACATAAAACTTAACACCAATCAGTATCTTCCTCAGTAGTTTAATACCAACTACTCTGTACAGTGGCCAGTCATACAATCAAGTGCACCTCATGCATAAACATTCACATGTGTATCTGGCATGCATGCACACACACAATGTACACATGCTCTCGTACATACACACATTGAAGAGCATGAGAGCTGTGGGTGGAGGTGGGTAACAAGTGGTGGCCAATGTTAACACTTATATGGGATCATCTGGAAACACTGCATATTCCTAATTTCTACAAGAAATACACAGTGTTTATTCATCCTCTCTTGAGCACTAAAGAAACATCATTTGGACAGACACTGTTATGCCTGCCATTACAGAGGCCAATTCCACACCCATAGCATCAATATCTACCCTCCCTTATTTTATTTTTACATCCCCATGCATGCACCCTTGTAAATGTTTGAAGAATTGAAACAGATTCTTTTTAACAAAAACAATAGTGAGTCCAACAAAGATCCAACCAACCCTGGGTGATGGAATAAATATTTAGTGCCTATACAGAGCACTTATTTTGTACAATGTCACTAAATGTTATACTAGTGAACCTATACTAAAGCCTAGGTGAGCTAGCATACAACGCATTTATATTCTAAATGATGTATCCCAGTGCCTCAGGGCTAGCTGCATTAGCATCTACAGGTGGGGTGACCTCCAGACTTAACATACAAAAGAAACTTCTACCAGTGGCCTGCACATTAGTTTTCAACAAACATAACCTGGAATGTACAAAGGAAGTTAGTTTGAATCCATTTCATGTTCTGGAAAAGATATTTTACTCCATTTTTCTGTCATGCTGCATTATATGAATTCAAACCACATCACATTGTCAAAAACATTCATATTACTTTCATTTAGAATTTGAAAGACTTTGAAAACAGTCACAAACTATTCAATCTTCAAGCACTCACACTATAACATCACTTGAATGAAATTGCCCTATAAAGAATCTCTTGAAGCCTGCACACCACGGAAAGGATAAAAGTGGAGTACAACAGCCTTAACAGCAAGTGATGTTACCTGGTGAGCACTGATGACTGGCAATGGCCACCCCATCCTTTTTCTCTTCCACAAATTACTATTTCGTAATTTTCCAAAGATATGCTGTTACATATATTTGTTGAAATTGTCAACAATCAAAAAATAACCTAAAAGATAAGCATGATTGTATGTTCTCCATCAATGAAGATTACAATCCTAGTGTGTTTCACATCCACATTACCATAACCTGCTAGTTATGGAATCCTGAATATGATATTCTTAAAGATGGTGACATGCCAAATTTGTTAAAAAATAATTAACCTGCAAAACCTAAGATATACACATATATAATATATAAACAAATATATTATATATATTTAATAACAAACTTCATATTAAAAATCATTTTCAAAAATCAATGAACGTAAAAAGCTCAGGGAGCAACATAAGATAACCTGTACTATCAAACTGTTTATTGTACAATACACAAACATTATGCATATTAAAAAAGCCAATTAAAGGGCAGTCTTCATATGAGTGAAATTGCTTTCATTATAATATATAAATATATTGCAACTATTGAAACATACAAAACTCATGATTTAAACTTTCAGGTTGCATTCAAAATACAACTAGCATAAGGAAATTATATACCAACAATGCTGTTCTACATACAAATGGAATGCACGCACCTCTTTATAACACATTAAAACTACAGTAAACCTAGACAATATAGCTTTATTTATCACTTTCTAATATAAAAGATAGTCAAGAATTAAGCAAGTGATGGAAATTGGAAACTTTTACTGGGGAAGTAGGAGCAGGGAGTAGTCAAAGTCTAAACTTACTAAAAAAAAAAAAAAAGACTGACTAAACCTTGATGTTAATCAGTAACATGTATATGAAATGCCAGAATCTTAAGTATAGCTGCTGACAAATTCTAAATCTTGTTATCACTACTTTACTCGGAGAAGTGTTATAGTGTTGATGCTAGCTGTATGGTAATCTAAATAGATCTAGAAATATCTCTGCATATCCCACTGCATGAATACTACATAACACCCATACATATAATTAAATGTTTATTGCTATGGGGGAATGATTAAAGCAATATGAATGATAATGGCATGCCATTATTTTTACTTTTTTAGGTAAAATGGTTGCTTCATTATGGCAACACAAGTTTTAGTAGAGGATACTCTGTATTAAAATAGTTTATAAAGTATATTACACTTTGAATTGTAATCATATTTATATTTTTAAAAGACATCAAAAGACAACCATGCTGTTCAATTTGTGGGTTTGTATTACACATTCGACTAGAAAAAATTATGCTTGTGTATCACAAAAAAATCATCAGTGTTGAAGCAGAAGTTTATCAAGAAATTATCCCAAAACTTGCAATTTATCTTTTATAGTATAAAATAAATTTAACACTCCCTGAGCTATATAGAATAATATAAGTTTCATGAGGTGAAATTTATCTATAAAATTTAAGAACTGCAAATTGGATGTTCTAGAAGGAAAAATGTCAATAGTCATTTTACCAAATAGTACCAGTTCACCACAAAAAATAGGTATAATACTTAACAAAAAATTACTGAAAACCTACACAATGTAACCAAATCTCAAATAGCATACTGTATAAGCAAGATAAAGGTACAGTACTTTCAGAAAACTCATGCTATAAAGGACTTGTTGGACTCTTTTAAGCGTTTTCATGATGGGGGGGGGGGGGGACGTGTGAGGTGCTGCGACATTTAACTACAGTAAGGTGCTGGGAAGGCTCTGGAGAAAATTTAAAAGGAAAAACAAGATGCTTAAAATAACTTGGATAACTTTAGCTAAATGATAATAGTTTTACCAACAGATAGTATTGCTTTAAATACCATCTTAAATCAGTCATGAAGCTCCTTTTAAGATAAATTATATTAACAAATTAAGCTCGCTTCCCGACCGAGATTGTCCTGAAGCATTAATTAAACCCGCAATGTTTTCAGCACCTGGCTTACTAAATGAAAAAAAAATTGAGCTGAGCCATCCCTGTACCTGTAGGTTGAATGTCACCTCTGCAAGCTGAGTGGTGGACGGACTTGAGCCATTCCAGTAAGAGATATAACTCTGGGATACTTATCACTAGTAATAACAAAACTTGTAGATATTTTAACAAGGATACTGCTTTTAAAATAACCAACTTAATATCAAGTTAGAAAAGAAGTTTTACTTGATACTGAAGCTAGAATCAACAGAATTAAAAATAACTAGTGAATTCACCTGGAGTTTTGTCCCTTACTGGCCGTTCTCATCCATCTCAAAACCCTACATGGTATGATACTATGGTGTGAAGAGAGAGACGAGAGACTCTGCATATTCTTGGCAGAGTTTGGGACGTCATGTTCTGCCTAAATATGAAATGGTAAAATGGATGCTAAAAGACTGCAAACAATCTCCAGTTGCCTTTTACCATACAATTCATTTCACAAAAAACAACAGAGTTTCATCTGTACAGGAAATATAAATTGAGACAACTGTACATTTGTAGATTGCTTGCTTATGAGACCCATGGAAGAACTGGTATGCTAAAAAGGGGTTAAAACCAAAAAAATAACTTTTTATCACATTAATAGATCTCAAAATATTTCATTGATGTCTTGAATTAACACAAGTCCAACACATATCTCCTCACATAACTTTCCAGTAAAAAGAAGTTTTACAGTTCTTGTTGTAAATAAGCAACCATCACACAGTCATTATTTGATATGCCTTACTTTTATTTTTTATTTAGCAGCCATAAGCAAAGCTTTCTAAACGAAAGCTTTTGCAACACTTTTTCCCTGCACATGTTCTGCAAACTTTTTAGGAAATATTTAACCATGAAATTATAGAGTAATATTGACAAGCTGAGCAAGACTGATGACTTCTTGCATTAGTTTATTTGGTACAAGGTACCCAATAAACTGCATTTTGCAAACTAATCTTATTTGTAAGTATGGTAACACTGAAGTACACAGGTTCTCTCTGATGTTGATGAGATATAAAGCAGGAAATTATCTACAGCTTACAGTACCTAATTTGCATATTTTTTGTCTATCATGATGGTTTGAATGGTATTTTCAAACATCTGATGCATTCACTCTCACACACACTCTGACACAACACAAAATGGACACAGAAGATGATGTGGACTACACAGAATGATGTGCTTCAGCCAAGAAGCACAAGAGGGATATCAGAGATGTCACATAACTGCACAAGATTTTCAGCTACTGTACAGTTGCTTGAAGTATAAACCTGCAGTGCCCAGTCACAAGAAGTGACAGTTACTCCTAAGAAATGATGCACACAGCTGTTAATTGAGCTCAATCAAACAGCAAACTACTGAGAAATACTGGCCCATACATTCTGTTTCTGAACAAAAAATCCATCATATTTTCATACTCATGTTAAGTAATGGCGAGCTAACCACCTTTGCAGACTCTTGACGGGTACCAGTCTCCTGCCAGTAGCATATGTGAATTATGTGCAACAAAGGAGAGAGCTGGGAGGGCAGGCATGGGGCGGAGGGACTGCTAAGACGGTTGAGGGCAGCCCTATCTATGATTGGGGCGATGTTGGTCTTGGTCCCCATCTGCAGTTGCATTGGTGGCAGCAGGTGGGGCATGGGCATGAGTGGTAGCTGGTCCACGTGCACCAGCCCCAGCACCACCTGGAGAATTATAAACCAGCTCATAGTCCATTACTTCCTTGTAGATAAGTTCCTTCCATTGATCAACTGTATGTTCACGGTCATCTACACTATGGTCGTATGGGCCTGGTGCAGGCTGGAGGAAAAAAAAAATTGTAATGAAAGTAGTTTGAAGCCAACAAAATAAATGAACAGTTATTCAATGCAGATAAAGTGGAACACCGAAAGTTTGGCCTGATTGGGGCCATAGGTCATGTGACAGTTTGTTTGTCCAAAGATACCAGGAAAAGACAAGAAAAAGACTCACCAATTCCTGTCGTCCTCATTCTTTTGTGAAGTATATGTACAATATGTTGGCTATGTGTTAAGTAAGGCTAGAAGTGAAATATCAATGTTAAGAACCAAAATGTCTTCCAAAACATGATAAAATTTTATATAGATTCTCAACATCGTCAAATAACCCCACTTTTACACTCATTTTATCACACACTAATAACTGTACACTTTACCATGCTGTAGCATACAGTATGCACATGGTCTATAGTTATTAATAATTAAACTTGGTAATCTCAAGGTCACATTTTATTTCCAAGAATTACAGAGTGTGGATTTAGCTTTACCATTACACCTCATTGGAACAGTCTTTGGAAAGCCCCTTATGTGAAACATTTTATACAGGCTGAAACTAGCATTAACAAACTACAGTACTTACTACTAAGTATTTAGATAAGGATGATAATATGTGCTTTTAGTTTGCATCATAATTCACCATGAATAATTTCTGTATATGAGAGATTTTGATTACAAAGGAGAGGAAGCAACTGAATATGCTAGTGGCATAGGACACAACTGAAACAGTAAATATTTATTATCATTACATATTATAATACAATAAACCCTCTCATAATGTGGGGATACATTCCTAAATATCAGCACCTTATGGAAATTAGCAGCATGCAAAGTAAAGAATACTTGAGGTAAAGAAGAGTTACTGTCCAGTGACCTCCAAATTTAGTAAATAACTTTTTTAAATATTCTACATTTTAGTAGAGAAGGTTGATATGGCCCTACTGGATTCAGGTGGATGGCAGTGGTTCATGTATTGATGTGAAAGTAGATTGTCAGTAGTTGATAGTTGTAATGAGTGCTCAAGTATTCTGTAATGCATCTCAGGTTTGTTTTCCTCTGCAGTGGTTTATTCAAGTAATGATATGGTATCATCAGTTAATCCACACAGCACTTCTAGGTGTGTCAGCACCCTGTTCAGTGAAAAACTCTGCAATTTTACCAAAAACATGGAACTGCATTTGTAATATTGCTGTTTATCTACAAGTTCTTCTACCTCATCCTTTTGGAACTGAGGTTTTCCAGCATTTCTTCTGCAGCTGGTTCATCATCCTCTTCAAGCAGTTCACTGGCATCTTGTTAATGCATTATCTTCAAAACCCTCATGTCTCAGTCCTCTACAGAGTTACAATTTCTTGGATATGAATACTCACTGAGGGAAAAACCAGAGAAATATTCACCACAGGCCATAACTGATCCCAGCCTGCATTTATGGTTGACTGGGGCACTTCACACCCATGACACTTTAATTAACACAAGTGCATCTGTCCTAGGTAGTAGGTTGGTAGATAGCATCCACCCAGGAGGTACTACTGTCCTGTCATGTGAGTGTGAAATGGAAGCCTGTAATTGTTTTAGACGATGGTAGGATTGCTGGTGTCTCTTTTCTGTCTCATAAACATGCAAGATTTCAGGTACAACATCCTGCTACTTCTACTTACACTTAGGTCACAATGCACTTGCATGTACAAGCACATATACACACACACACACACCCCTCTGAGTTTTCTTCTATTTTCTTACTAGTTCTTGTTCTTGTTTATTTCCTCTTATCTCCATGAGGAAGTGGAACAGAATTCTTCCTCTGTGAGCCATGCATGCCATAAGAGGCAACTAAAATGCGGGAGCAAGGGGCTAATAACCCCTTCTCCTGTATATATTACTAAATTTAAAAGGAGAACTTTCATTTTTCCATTTGGGCCGCCCTGCCTCAGTGGGATACAGCAGGTTTGTTGAAAGATGATGATGGTAGGATTGCTGGTGTCTTTTTTTCTGTCTCATAAACATGCAAGATTTCAGGTATGTCTTGCTACTTCTACTTACACTTATATCACACTACACTTGCATGTACAAGCATATGTATGTATACACACCCCTCTGGGTTTTCTTCCATTTTCTTACCAGTTCTTGTTGTTTATTTCCTCTTATCTCCATGGGGAAGTGGAACAGAATTCTTCCTCTGTAAGCTATGTACTGTGGGCCCCCGGTTTTCATAATAAATCTGTTCCAGAGAGAGTGACTAAACCCGAATCTGACTTATTCCGAATTAATTTTCCCTGTAAGAAATAATGCAAATCCAATTAATCCGTTTCAGACACCCAAAAGTATTAAAAAAATGTTTTCTACATTGAAATATACATTTATCTACACAGAAAACAATAACATCACATTTACCTTTATTGAAGACATGGTGATGTATGGAAGATGGGAGGAGGGGAGAAGATGGAGGAGTTTACAATTGTTTGGAAGGGGAATCCCCTTCCATAAAGACTTCAGGTTCCAAGTCCTTATCCTGGGTTACTCCCCTCCTTTGTTTTTTGATGCCACTAGGATGAGCTTGAGAGTCACTGGACCCCTGTAGCTCAAAAAAGTGTTCCAGAGAATTGTGTTTGGAGAAAGGACAAGATAGTCCTTCAATATGACACTAATATCAGCTCTATGGCTTATTTATCTAGCACAATTCATCTAATATGACATAATAAACAATATTAATAACATAGAAACATGATATATACTCTAGAATGAATAAAATATGGCATTAAGAATGTCACTAGTGGTGTTGTGTTGTTAGTTGTTGGGTGTATAAAGTCCACTGAAAGATAACCCTTACATAGTGGTGGTGAAGGCGGCAGCAAGAAGCAGCAGAGGCGGTGGTGTTAGTCAGTAGCCCTATATACCTCCAACAACAATGAAGGAGTCAGTTTCGTGCTGTCCTTTTTCTATCGATTAATCGCTTAACATACTTGCTACACTCATAATGCTACACTTTATCGCTGGCTGGCGCTATAGCCTTTACTGACTCCTGCTGCTTTAGTATTGTACATATTGCAGAATCATTGAAAAAGGCACATTCTCCCCTCTTTCTCAGCCCTTTACCAAAGGGCTGGCTGGCACTAGGAACTTTCTTTGGGCCCATGGTGGCTTATTTAGCAGTTGCAAGCACTAAAAAGAATGGAATACAAAACATACTGTATGAACGTGTGGGATCGTCCTCACTGGCTGATAAACAATAGCACACTGACTGTACATGGAGTGTCGGGGCCGCTCAGGCCACGTGGACACGTTCCGGATAAATGACTTATACCGAGTTCAGTGACGATCACCGAGCCAATATTTTGATGAAAAAATATTACTTATTCTGAATACAGTGGTCCTTCAATTATCGTCCTTAATCCGTTCCTGGAAGTAGGACTATTATCGAAATAGACGATTTTCGAATTAATTTTCACCATAAGAAATAATGTAAATCCAATTAATTCGTTCCAGACACCCAGAAGTATCAACAACAATTTTTTTTTTATCTAAAAGATAGATTTACATGCACAAAAGAATGAACATTCAACATAACAGTTACCTTTATTGAAGGCTGTTGTTGATGAATGGAAGACAGGGAGGAGGAGAAAGGGCGGAGAGGTTATTGTTTGGAAGGGGAATCCCCCTCCATAAGGACTCTAGGTCCTTCTCTAGCATAAATATAGATTTACATGCAGAAAAGAATGCCAAATAAATGTAAAGCACTAATAAAATGTATAAATGAACATTGGTAATAGGGGTAGTTGATGAGTGGAATGGGCTGCCTAGTAGGGTGATCAAAGCTAAAACATTGGGTAGTTTCAAATTTAGGTTGGATAAATACATGAGTGAGAGGGGTTGGATTTGAGTCGGACTTGCACCTGAGCTTATTGCTTGGGTAACATTTGTTCTGTTAGTGGGTTGGATTTGTGAAGGACCAGCCTAGTATGGGCCAGCAGGCCTACTGCAGTGTTCCTCCTTTCTTATGTTCTTATTGAAGACTTGTTTGTGTGAGGGAGGGATGGTAAGTTTATTGCTGGAGAATATGACACTAATATCAACTCTACGGCTTATTTATCTATCACAATTCAACTAATATGACATAATAAACAATATTAATAACATAGAAACATGGAATATACTCTAGAATGAATAAAATAAGTCATTACATATGTCACAAGAGGTGTTGTGTTGTGTTGTTGTTGGGTATATAAGGGCCACTGAGAGCAAGCCGTCCATAATGGTGGTGAAGCAGCAGCTGAGGCGGCGGTGTTTTCTGTAGCCCTATGTAACTCCAACAACATTAGAGGAGTTGGTAGAATCGCTAAATCACTAAAGAAGGAACCCTCTACCACCATCACTACGACCTTCTACCACTATTACAACTGTTACCACCATCACTACTACCTTCTACCACCATCAACCACTATCACAACTGCTTCCACTCTACCACCACCACCTTTGTATTTTTCTACAAACTTTTTCATAAATTATATGTGTTTTTCACATTATTTACCAAAGGGCTGGCACTAGAAGCTTTCTTTGGAGCCAAGGTAGCTTATTTAGCACTTGCAAGCACTAAAATCAATGGAATATTATGAAATATTTCATAGGAGCAAGTGAGGGGACCATCACTCACTGGTAAACAATGGCACACTGGCTGGGAAGACAGGCCCAAGCAGCTCAGAGTGTGAGTACGCGTCCCAGATGCAGGACGATTAGCGAGTTAATGGACCATTTGCGAGCCAATGTTAGACGAAATAATGGGACTACAGTGGACCCCCGGTTAACGATATTTTTTCACTCCAGAAGTATGTTCAGGTGCCAGTACTGACCGAATTTGTTCCCATAAGGAATATTGTGAAGTAGATTAGTCCATTTCAGACCCCCAAACATATGCGTACAAACGCACTTACATAAATACACTTACATAATTGGTCGCATTCGGAGGTAATCGTTATGCGGGGGTCCACTGTATTTCCGAAATGGACGACTTTC